GCCACCTTTGCAGGTCTCTTTCATAGATATTATCATGCTGTATTGCTGTTGCCTTTTTTTGTCTAATATTTTGTTATAAAAATTTTCAAACATACACAAAAGTTGACAGAATTATATAGCCAACCCACTACCCACCATCTAGATTCCACAATTAACATTTGATCTATAATATTTGACATATTTGCTATATCATAATATTCATCCATCTACCCATCCCTCTATGCATCTTCTGTTTATATAATGCATTTCAAATTTGCAGACACCAGTACACTTGCTTCCAAACACTTCAGCATGATCTTACTAGCTAGAGTGGGATATCTGACTACTTGAAAATGTTTTTGGTAAAACTTGTCATTGCCTTTTTCTTACCTATCTCTTCCACTAGGCCGAGGTGACTGTGTCATTTGTTTTCTACCCAAAAACAAATGAGACACATTATGCCTCACACATAGTAGGAACAAGGTTAACATTTCTTAAATGAATACATTTCAGATTTCATCAGATGTTAGTTTCTTGATTCATATATCAAAGTAATTTTTTCACCCCTTTGATTCATCTTCTTATTTCCCTACCCAGAAAATTTGTAGACAGCAACTTTCATTCTACCTATTCAGCATCATAGGGAATTAAGAATTTTAATCTGTTAATGATAGTAGACAAACTCTCTCATGGTGTCTTTCTACAAAGCCCCACAAGGTGGTGCCCAAATATCTTTTTTTCAAACAGTCGTCCCTCAAGACCCATGGTCAGTCCTCACTAATTTCTGTTAATATTTGGCATTTCTGAATTTGGTTAATTAGTGTAATGGAATATTATACATATAAATATAAGTAAGAAAAATTACTTACATAAATAAAATTATACATGTGTATTTCTGAATCTATGGCTCTGGATATAAACAATGAATAATGATATTAGGTACCTTAAATTTGTGTGAGTTGTATATCATTAAAATGTTTTTCACATCCAAAATAGTAAAATATGAATTTATCTCAAGTCCTATTTACTGTAAACGTTGTCCATGAAAAATTTACCCTTAGTACAGAATTTAAAAGGACAGAGGAAGAAACAAACTATTGTATAGGAGGAACTATGTAATTTAGATGTAACTCAAAAAATGATGACTCTGTTACCTCAACTGGGGACAATGTTGTGTGAACCAGAGTTGTAAAGCGTTGACATAATGTGGGATAATAAGTTACTTAATGTTCTTAAAACACTTTAGTTCCAGAAATTTGATTGATTTATTTAAAAAACTTTCCTTGTTGAATATTCTTATTAAATCCCAAATGGACTGACCAGAAAACTCAAATGGATGTTGAGTTTCTGCAACTTTTTATTCATGCAAATGATGATATCTAACCATATTACTAGCTGTATTTTGATCAGGTATCAATAACATGCACAGTAACCACAGTTTACTCAAATCAGTGTGACAACAATCCCCGGCTACTCTGGCAAACCTGCCCAAACCTAAAGGAGAAAGTTCTTCAACTCGGGGCTCTCATAAATGGTGTTCATTGCCTTTGATGGCCCAGGCATTAAGAGTTACACAGTGAGAGATGAGACTCATTATGTCCTGGAATTTAGCCCATGATAATTTGTCTTGAGCCATTTGCAACTAAGGGAAAATTCCTATTTTTCAAACATATATTGTTGGCCATATAACAGGCTCCTTTTTCTCCTGCTCTGGCACAAGCCTGGATGGTACCAAGGCCTAGAAACCTCCTGGGGTATTTAGGGATAATGAAAGATGACCAGCTGATGTACAAAGATCTAAACTTTGTTCCCTCACTATCTCACAGGATGATCTTTGGGTGGGTCTCAACACCTGCCCTCTATTTTATCACCTGTGAAGTGGAAGAATCAAATAAAAGTGGTCTCTAAGTTTCCTTCCAGTTCTGAGATTTGATGCTATTATTTGTCCCCAATAAAAGTGTAAATACCATTTAGTGGGAAATGGAAGAATTCACCAAGATACAATACAACACTCTAATACCTGAAAATAAAATCAACTAAATGAAAAATAGAAAATATTTTCCCCATTAAAAGCAGAGTTTGGTCAAGGCTTAATAAATAGATCAGGGGTCCCCAACCCCTGGGCCACACAGCAGGAGGTGAGCGGCAGTCAAGCGAGCGAAGCTTCATCTGCCGCCCCCCATCGCTCCCCATCTCTCACATTATAGGCTGAACCATCCCCCCCCCCCCCCACCGCCCCATGGAAAATTCGTCTTCCACGAAACCTGTCCCTGGTGCCAAAAAGGTTGGGGACCACTGAAATAGATTTAATCGTTTATTTTTGGGTGGATTCTGCATGAAAATGTTAAGACTTCTTTATTCACTGAAGGGAATAATTTTTTTAAAAGTTGGACAGTCAAACCTGTGATAGAGCAAGACCTGTCTACTTTCAGATATTTCTTAGAAAGGAAAATTGTAAAGATTTCCAGATAGCATCCTGATTTTTCGTCATAAAAAATCTGCTCTGGGCTTCCCTGGTGGCGCAGTGGTTGAGAGTCCGCCTGCTGATGCAGGGGACACGGGTTCGTGCCCTGGTCCGGGAAGATCCCACATGCCGCGGAGCGGCTGGGCCCATGAGCCATGGCCGCTGAGCCTGCGCGTCCGGGGCCTGTGCTCTGCAACGGGAGAGGCCACAACAGTGAGAGGCCCGCGTACCGCAAAAAAATTTAAAAAAAAAAATTAAAAAATCTGCTCTTAGTAAAGAATAAACAACACAGAAAGAGAAAATATAAATATTGAAGGAAAATTTCAGAGAAAGCTACAAGCTTGTAAAACCTCTCTTGTTCTCAATTAAATTAAAATTTTAGTCTCTTATTTCCAGAACTTCAGAGAACTTCCTTACGTACGGGGTCAAAAAAGAGAGACGGCATATGTAATACTACAGACATGATATTACACCTTTTTCCTCTCTGAAAATGCAATAGCAGCTGTGTTTTGCTACAAAGCCTTATCCTTATACTAATCTTCAGTGTTAAAGTTATACAGCCCTCTGTATTCTTCTCCTTGGTTAGCAAGGGATTACTTGGAGAGACATATCCTCGTTGTGTTCTACTTCCTCAGCACACTTCTTCTTCTTCTTCTTTTAATACCCAGCTATCTCCACATCTTAGCATACCTGGTCTGAAGAGCAGTTGACATTTGGTCAATTACACTTGAGGCACTTGCCAAGAGAGATGCTTGGCCATAGTGATACAAAGTCAGCTTAATAAAATTCCTGCTAGTTGATGCTATACGAGGAGCAGACAATGGCATGGAGCCATCTACTGGTCCATCCCCAACCCAACAGCTTTGCTTCTCATTGGGGCTTCTCCATCTGGCATGTATGAAAGAAGTCAGTCACCCATCTCATTCCTCATTGCCTTTGCATATATTTCCACCCCCTATTCAAAGTCTGGAAAAATCATGCTCACAATTTCCCAGCTACCATTCCATGAAGGAAAGGTGCCAAACAAGGAAACTGTTATTCCTTTTCCAGAACTTCTGAAGTCAATATACTTTAAACAGGCAAGCATTTCAAACCATGCAGAACATTGGTTCAAAATAAGCTTTCTTGTTTCCATTCTAGGGTATACTGAGCTAGCCACACAGGAGTCTTCTCTTGCCAGGGAAGCCTGTGGGTTTAAAAGGCATTTGGTACATAGCTGGGCATACTGAGTGCTAAAGTTTGCTGAAGATTTAAATACAGGATTAGATTTTAAATTGTTAATCTACCCAGAAAAATAGTTTCACAGGGATGTTCAGAGGAGATTGCTTCCTGATTTCAAGTTCTCTTTCTGAGCAGTAGTTCTTCCAGCTAACACAGAAAATCTGTTAGTTTTGCTCTCATAATCTATTTTTATTTTTTGGCCTGGTTTTATTTTTTAAATTTTTTTAAACATCTTTATTGGAGTATAATTGCTTTACAATGGTGTGTTAGTTTCTGCTTTATAACAAAGTGAATTAGCCATACATATACATACATCCCTGTATCTTCTCCCTCTTGCATCTCCCTCCCACCCTCCCTATCCCACCCCTCTAGGTGGTCACAAAGCACCAAGCTGATCTCCCTGTGCTATGCAGCTGCTTCCCAATAGCTACCTGTTTTATGTTTGGTAGTGTATATATGTCCATGCCACTCTCTCACTTTGTCCCAGCTTACCCTTCTTGCTCCCCATGTCCTCAAATCCATTCTCTAGTAGGTCTGTGTCTTTATTCCCATCTTGCCCCTAGGTTCTTCATGACCGTTTTTTGTTTTTTTTTTTATATTCCATATATATGTGTTAGCATACAGTATTTATTTTTCTCTTTCTGACTTATTTCACTCTGTTTTCATACTTTTTTGATTGACTGGGTATGCAGCTGTACTACAGCTTGGAACTCTGGTGAAGTTGAAGTTAACAAAGTAAACGTAGAAAATGGGGTTCTATGGAAACAGAAGGGCAATTCAATTTTTGACTTGACCTCTGAACTCACTGAAATTGTGCATGTAATATTAAGACAGAAATGGTGGTGGTTCTCTACAGCCCTGTAAAAATATTGGCATGGTCAGGAATTAGTTACAATGAAAACGAATGAAACACCCTTGCAGCAATCTGATACTACCTTGGAGAAGGTGGAAAAGTCAAACAGGCCCTGTGATCGAACCACAGTCATCATACAGAGTGGGACTGAAATGTTTTTAAATGGCTGTGTGCCTCCTGCTCCCTATAATATAATGGGAAATTCGGACTACTTGGGTGTAATTCTTTGAATATACAAAAATATTCATTAATAGATGTTTGGTTGTGTTGCCGTGATCTATTTGGATTAGAAACTTTAAAAATCTCAATGTGGATAATTTTTTATAAATATGAATGAAAACCCTTTTCTCTTGCCACATGCCAGTTTTCAATACCACTGGCTTGAAATTAAAAATGGCAAACTCTATATTTTATTAAAGTATTTATAACTGGTTTTTCTACTAAAGGTGATACACGACAGATGATTTTTCACCATCTACCATAATGTGGAACAGACATTTTGTCTTGCATCTCCTGCTTTTGCCAGCTTTTATGAGTCAAGCAATATATGGTCAAAGAAAGAAAGGATCAAAGTCCAATTTACTTGCAAGGAAAAGTCTCCAGGGTAAAAAAGTGTTTTGTTCTGTCTTTATTAGTTTTAGCCTCTTAAAACCCTAATATGAATTTTTCCAAAGAGCATTTGATGCAAATAGCAAACCACGTATTTAGGTATATATGTGATATTCTATTTTGATATGATAATAATGCACCTTACAAACTTATAGAGCATACTTATAAAAACATCAGAATTTCTAGAGCACTTGTACATTTATTATCTCATTTGAGCTTCACAGTAGCCTTGTTAGAATGGGCATGACAGAGATTGCCACTCCCATAGATAAAGAAACTGAGGCCCAGAGAGGTGAAGTGGCACACTCAAGGCCGCAGGCAAATTAATTAGTAAGTCACAGAGCTAGGATTCAAACTTAAGTTCTCCCTGTTAGGTTTCTTTGTCCCTAACCACTGCTACAATATGATGTGTAGTCATTTTCTCCGTTGATTTCAAAAAAGTTAAAAAAAAAAACCAAAAATCTGCACCAAAACAAGATGGGGCCTCACCAATATGAGATACAGTTTGAGAATTAGGCAGAGTATTATTTACTTCTAGACAATTTTGCCTAGTGTTTGTTGAATTTTGGAACTATAATGTACTTTCTTTCCCTCTCACTTTAAGCAAGTTTTACTTTGGGAAGATGCTCAGAATATATGGTATTTTGTTTGCTTTTGATTTGCACAATTTTACAAGAGGAAAAGAATTTGTAGACTTAGAAAGAGATTTAGTTCTTTACAGTGTAAGCCCTATCTCAGTAGTGCCTCTCTTTTTCACTTCCTTCTCCTCTCAGAAGCAAGCAATTCACGATCACATCACCTCAGGCCTTTGCTTATGCAGAGTTGTTTCACGAGTAAGGGCAAGGATTTTGCCTAACCTGTTCGTCCTATTTTAGACCTCACTTGCTTCATAGATCTTGTCTTCATCGTGGACAGCTCTGAAATTTCTAAAATTTTTCTCTTTGACAAACAGAAAGATTTTGTAGATAGCTTGAGTGCCAAGATTTTTCAATTGACCCCGGCTGGCTCCTTGAAATATGACATCAAACTGGCAGCCCTTCAGTTTAGCAGCTCTGTCCAAATTTATCCACCTTTTTCTTCTTGGAAGGATCTACAGACTTTTAAACAGAGGGTCAAGTCTATGAATTTCATTGGGCAAGGTACTTTCTCTTATTATGCCATCGCCAATGTCACAAGGCTACTTAAGAGAGAAGGGTGCAAAGATGGTGTGAAAGTGGCTTTGCTGATGACTGATAGCATCGACCATCCAAAGAATCCAGATGTTCAAAGTATTTCTGAAGATGCCAGAACTTCAGGAATATTATTTATCACCATTGGACTCTCTACTCTAGTCAATGAAACCAAACTTCGTTTGGTATCTGGGGATCCACCCAGTGAACCCATTCTACTGTTGAATGATTCAACCCTTGTAGATAAAATTCAGGATCACCTGGTAGGTACCTAATGGGTTGGTTTTGTATATATTTTTCACCATAATATTGATAATTTGTTTACAAATTCTGTAAGGATAGATAGTGGGCCAAAAAGATGAAAGGGAAAAAAATCCACCTTGGAAATGGAAAAGAAGAATTTCTCCCATGTGTCTCTCTACTTTCTTGATAGTTTATACCACGTAATCTGGGGAAGTCCCAGACTCATTCTCTGGAACTTTATTGTCAGCTACTGCTGAGGATTTTGGAAGAATTAATTTCCATTCATCCACCTCAGACTCCTGTTTGTACATCCTGGGCTCATTGAACACTGCTGACTTATATTCGATTTGTAGTCAACTTGTGGTCCGCTATATTTGTACTAAGTTATTCTTTTCCCATTACAGATGTGCAGGAATATTTTTTGACTGTTTGTCTCACCTATTGCCATATTATGCTCAAGTGAAGTTCACAGACTTCCATTAAAAAAAAATCTCCTTGTTTTTTAGGTGTTAACAAGGTCACCCAGTTTTAAATCAGCTATAACCTGCTGTCGCCCCACAGTTTCTCCCATCAAATCAATGAGTCCCACTAGATTGATCTGATTAGCTGTGTCACTGCTTTTCTTTATTGGTTGTGAGAGCCTTTCCTTGCTGCTAGGGAAAACAGAAGGCAAAGCAATCAGAACAAAAGCCCTCTTCACAACATTTCTCAAGGAGGAAACTCCTGGAGATAAGGTGGTTGATTTAAGTGTCAAGATTGATTTTCTTAAGAATATTGATTTAAAAAAAGTTTCTTGAGAGGAGGGCAAGGACAATGTGTCCTTTAGGTCCTGAGCACTCCATATGGGCTCTTTTCTATCAGTTGAAAAAACCGCAGACCCCGTTTCAGAGTCTGTTTTTCTCCTTTTGCCCCTTCCCTCAATTCTTTTCCCAACATTACTTTGATTTTGTTACTCTCAGCTGTTTTCAGCATGAGATGCTGGGTTTTTCTTACCTAAATAATAGTGATCATGTCTTGAGTGCTCTCTGTGTATTATGCATTGCTCTGAGTACTTTACATATTTTATTTTATTCAATGTTTACAACAATCTTATGATGTAGGTACTATTATTATCTTCATTTTATAGTTGAAAATTTGAGGCCAGCTAAAAACCCTGGAGTCTGCATGCTTAACCCTGTAAAGTTATATTGAGAAGGAGAGTAGTAACTATTTTTTATGGTTTTCTCAATTAGAATTGCCTTGAAACAGTTAAGGAACATCCCTTCTCCAAAGTTACTATTGTTTCTAGCCTTTTTTAACTTGGGCATTAGGGGTAGATGGGGAGAGTTCTGCCTAGACCGCAGGTGATAGGCTCAGCTCCCAGGTACTTGGGGTGAACGCTTACGTGAGCATCCCTTCTGCAGGAAAGGGGAATGTGCTGGGTGCCTGGCTAACTGCCTAGCCCTGCCTGCGCCATAGTTTAAGGAGTCCTCACCCCTGAATAAAAGAGAAGTTTCAAGCATGTTCAGGAGAGAACCCTGGGGTTGTGATGAGTCACCTGTTGCTGCCTGGAGAGGACACAGGACAGGCAGCTCCTTGTTTGGCCAGATGTGTCGGTTCGGGAGGTTCATACGCCCTCCAGACACACCCTTGCCAAGAGCTCCTGCCCAACTGAGAACACAGGCTGTTGGCAGTAAACCTGAAGCAAGAGTGCTTGTTTCTGGGGAAACCAAAAAATGACTAAGCATCCTAATGACTCTGCTCTTCCATAGCTTCTTGTGATTTCAGCTTATCTGTTCAGATGGAAGCTCTGTGAAGAGAACTTATTAGGCTTTTCAAAGAAAGATATACCAAGCTTCAATGTTTCAAATTGCCATGGTCTAGGAAGAAGAACTTGACTTTTGATCAGACCATTGGAAAAAGTCCTCATCTAATCTGTTTCTATTACATCTGTAGTTCAATTTTTTAACCTTTTTATTTTGTAATTATTACGCAGTTGATTTTTTAAAATAAGTTAATCCAGTACAATTTAAGTACACATCTGTGTCTACTTTGAGTGCATGTTTCCCTGAGTTTTGATAGACGTATACACCCATGAAACAACCAGCACAAGTAGGAAAGAGAACACGTATATCATCCCTAAAAGGTTCCTTATGCCTCTTTGCAATACGTGTTTCCCTTGTCCCTTAAATGCTACTGATCTGACTTGTCATCTTAGATTAGTGTACTTTCTAGATTTTTACGTAAACAAGCTCACAGCACGTGCACTCTTTTTGTGTCAGGCTTCTTACTGCCAGCATAATGATTTTGAAATGCATCTGGGTTGTTTTTTTATCAGCAGTTTATTCTGTTTACTGCAGAGTAGACTTTAGTTGAATTTCATTGTGGACAAAGGAGTGTCCACAGTGAACAGATTTTGCAGGAGCCAAGACAAATCAAGGAACCATCACACATTCCTTGACACCTCTTGCAGGAGATATCACATAAGAATCCCATGAAAGCATTTTAGTTCTGAATTACCCAAGAGAGACCTGATGATTCCAAGGTGAAGAAAATACTTGTGCTCCTATTTTATTATGATTTACATAACAGTATTGAAACCTAAGAAACAGATTCAAACCAATCTCCTGGATATATTACTTGGTCCTTCAAAAGAGCAAGAGAGAGTACATAGAGATTTTAAAACTTCTTTATCACCTTTGATATTAAAAATTTTAAAGTCTTTATGGGAATAAAGGTTGTGGCAAATTGGTCTCATTCTCTGAAAATAATTAAGCAAAACATCCATTTAGTGTATCCTTTCCTTCACATACAAAGGGATCAACTTGAATGGCTATTCTGCTACCGTAGTAAGCTGCAAATATATTTTTTTTATCATAGAGTTTGTAATCCTTGCCTACTAAGTTCTTTATTCTCATCCCATTTGCTGTCATGCTAATAGCTTTGACACCTTCCTCACATTTTCTCCATTCCCTTCTCATAGCCTTGACCTCATGGTCACTCGCAAAACTGGCAATTCCATTCTAGCCTTCTCTCTTCACATATATGCCATCATAAAACTCTGACTCCATTAGTAAAATGACCCTTCTTTTGCTCTGGTGAGGTCCTTTCTCTATATTTTTTCATTTAAACCAGTGGTCCACAACATTTTTGGCACCAGGGACCAGTTTCGTAAAGACAATTTTTCCAAGGACTGGGGCGGAGGACAGGGGAAGGTTTCAGGATGATTCAAGCGCATTACATTTATTGTGAACTTTATTTCTATTATTATTACATTGTAATATATAATGAAATAATTATACAACTCACCATAATGCTGACAGGAGGAAGAGCTCAGGTGGTAATGCGAGCGATGGGAAGCGGCTGTAAATAGAGATGAAGCTTTGCTCACTCGTCCGCCCCTTACCACCTGTTGTGTGGCCCAGTTCCTCACAGGCCATGGACCAGTACTGGTCCATGGCCTGGGGGTTGGGGACCCCTGATTTAAACTACAGTATCCATCTAGACCTTAATTGAACATGCCCTTCCCTCTGGCTTTGACCATACTCTCCCAGCTGTCCTCCACACAGCCTGCCTCTCCGCTTAAGTGAAAGGCCTCACTACTTCCCAATTCTCCAGCTCTGTCCATGTGGGCCCTTCTGTCCACTCTTTTTAAATGTCCCTTCTCACTGCTTCCTTTGTCTGATTGCCCACACTAGTCTTTATGCCTTTTTTCCTTATAAACTTTGACATATAGAACAGCATTCCATCAATGAGTTGGTCCTTTGCATTTCTTTATTCAAAATTATCCAGAAAGTCCAACTATTCCAAGAAACCGTCCTGTTCCTCCCCCTCAACGCCCCCCAAGTCTAGGATCTCCTTCCCAAGCAGCTTGCTTTGCCATGTTTTCTATCACTGGGGCTTATAGGCTGTAAGTGCCCTTAGGGAACGGAGCTTTGTTCTTTGTTTCAAACAGTCTTATCTGTTATGTAGTTTTGAATCCATTTTTGTTTGCACAGAAATATAAATTCCAGCAAATACAAAATCAAATGAGTTCCAAAAATAATTAGTAAGTTGTGCTGTTATGGTTTTTAAGCCCGTGGCACATATTTTTAAGCGGTAATATGGCAAAGCAGAAATTGAATTTTCAAATGAAAAGCTTAAAAGGTGTAAAATTACCCATGAGCCACAGTAGCAGTTAAATTTATCAGTTTAAAATTGATAAGGATATTGCTTATTGTAAAAAGGTGGTAAAGTGACACAACTTTGAATTTTTCCTTATTTTAGTAGTTATTTTCAAATATTACAATTTGACTCGAATTATTCGTTGTTTTATCGTCTCTTTTGAACTCCTTTCAAATTCCTTTCCTCTCTCTCCCTCCCAGAGGAAACCAAGTTTCTGACGTATATTTTAAATATTTTCACAATTTGGATCACATTGTATGTGTTCATTTGCAACTTGCTTTTCCACTCAACTTTTTAGGAAATTTATCTATGTTAAAACACAGAAATTCAACGCATTGACTTTAACTGCTCAGTAGTATTTTGTTTATTGATCCATTACACTATTGATGGATATCTTATTTCAAATTTTTTGCTATTAAAAACAATGAATGCTGAAATATACAAGTACAAGAATTTCTCTAGGGTATGTCTGGAAGGGATGTCAGGATCACAGGTGGAAGCAAGGACTTGTCCTGGGCAGCCTAGAGATAAAGCATGTACATTTCAACTTTCTAGGCACAGCCGAATGTTCTGGAGAGGGTAAAGCCATTTTACACTAAAATCATCAGTTTTTCTGAGTTCCCATTCTCCACATGACCTACTAGTTCTTAAAGATACAAGTATCTCATCTGCTTTCAGCCAGGGTTTACACTGGCTAGTAATTTAAAATCACTGGGGCAGGGGACGATGGAGAGAGAGGGAAAGAAAGCCATAGGTGAGACTGAATTTGGTAGACAGGGTCTGTGGCCAGTTTTACAGCTCCCAAGACCATGTTGTCAACCTTTCTCATTTTATAGATGTGGAAAATGACCTGGAAGGATATATGATGTACCTAAGGCCAGGTGGCTAGATAATGGTGGAAACAGGATGAAAACCCTGGATGATGAAATTCCCAGCCTAAATTTTTCTCTGATTAAATCCCTAGAATCACTTAAAGCATTTTGCTATCTCTTCCCTCTAAATGATTCATTTGATTGGAAATAAAGGTAGAGTAAATACAAAACTAAATGGATACAGAGTCCTCCATAAAGGTACAACTCTGACTTATCTTTTGCTTCTTCATTACATGCTTTATTTTTAACATCTTGCAACGAATATTCTAGTGCTTTTTGCTTCCATCTTCTATTTCACCATGTAAATTACCCCTCAGATTCAGTCATAAGGCATTAATTTGACACATAACTTCTACCTTAAGAAAGCAATAATTCTATCTGTAAACGTAAGTTCTGTCCAGTGTTTGACTTCAGACACGACCTTCAGTGCTCTTGTCAGGTAATACCACACTGAGCTCGAGTAGGGTAGTGAGACCTACATGTTGGACAAAAACCACATCGGGAATTTCTCTAAAATTATGAATTTAAAGTAGTTTTGAAAAACATTCTGGCTACTTCATTTCTGTGTGGTTAAGTAGAAAATAGCACTGAACTTGGTTAGGCAGCTCAGCCCAAGTGTGTGACCTTGGGCAAGTCACAGCACTGCGTCTCACATTTCCTTATGAGAGAATGAGCTGCTGGACCGCATTGACTTGTAAGGCTCATCAATATTTCATGAAATTATCACCCTAAAATTTATGTTTTAATGCTGAAAAATAAGTGCATATCTGTAAAGGAATAGAAAATAGAGAAGAGAAAATACACGATTACATATTCTGCCAAAGTCTGTAAATAAAAGTGAGAAATTTCTTATTATGGCTGATTAAGCTTGTAGCCAAACTATGGAGATTACAGAGCTGATAAAAAAGAAGAGATAAAACATAGGATGCAAAAGGATAAAATTTCTAGAAAAAATTACTTTTAATGAATGCTAGTGCCCTTCATGTCTTCTATTAGTAGACGGCTCAGAGTGCTCCTTGGGTTGTTGGCTGGGGCTTTATTGATTTTACAAGGTTAAAAAGGCTGAATTGCTATTTTTTTTGGAAATTGCATATCCCATAGGGAATAATTAAGGTTAATAAGAAGCTGGAAGCAGAACCGTGAATTGAGTTAATGTTTCATTCTTTTTTCCCTCCTAGGATATCTTATTTGAAAAGAAGGTAAGCACCACATGCTGTGATTACTATGAGTCACTCTAAAAGCTCACATAAGCAAACCAGCATTATAACTCACATTAGAAGATAAGGTGTGACTAAATAAAAATGCTTAATTCTTTTTAAAATGAGCCACTCTATTTTGAGGCAGCCATTTGATTTATTTTATGTCACCCTATCCAATGCAGGTTGGAAAATTTAGAAAAAGTAGGAAATATTTAAACGATTTTAGAGAGTGATTTTAGAAATCAATGATAACCAGACACCATAGTTTTTGCTGACTTTGACATGACTTCCTTTTTTCTAATTGTGTCTCAATACCTGCTACTTACGGGGGTCCTCCACTCTAGGAACTGTGCCTTGTGTTGGCCAGGGTTAGGCAGTGTTCCTGGTTATGGACAGGGCTTAGAGTTGCCCCCTGCTGCCTGGTGGCTGACTAAGCTTATTCTCTTCCCTGTTGGTGGCAACCAGACCAAGTGACAAAGGAAGCTGGCCAATATCGATTGGACGGTTCTCAGCACAATAGATGACCGTGAGCTTGCTGAGGACCACTCTACTGGATGTGTGTTTCTGGGCAAAGAGTTTGGAACATCTGAGCTTTGTTCGATAAACTGATTCTTTAACATTAGGAGTATCACATAAAATAATAGGAGCCAACCAAAGCTTGTAGAGCACTACGTTTCATTATTTTATATGCCATTAAGACAGATTAAAAAAAAACCCTCTGGGGCTTCCCTGGTGGCGCAGTGGTTGAGAGTCCGCCTGCCGATGCAGGGGACGCGGGTTCGTGCCCCGGTCCGGGAGGATCCCACATGCCGTGGAGCGGCTGGGCCCGTGGGCCATGGCCGCTGAGCCTGCACATCAGGAGCCTGTGCTCCGCAACGGGAGAGGCCACAACGGTGAGAGGCCCGCGTACCGCAAAAAAAAAAAAAACCCTCTGTCAAACTATGATACAGTGCCTTCTTATGAATTACAATTTTTCATTTTATACTATGGCAAGAGTCCTTTTAGATCTATTTAGATATAGATTTTTAAATCCTGTTATCACTTCTGTGCATACAGATAAGGGAAAATATAAGCAAACTAAATTGGTTATTTCTAAAACTTCTTCACATTCAAAGTTGAAATCCTCTAAAATCACTTTGTCTCAGAGTCATTATTGGCTTTTCTACACAATACCAGCCCCTGTGCCACCAAAAGTGTTGGTGATGCAGCATTTCTTCAAGTGCTCTTGTTGTGTCTCTGGAGTTTTATTCCATCTCATTCTGGAAGCGCTGAAGTGCATGCGCAGAAAATACCAGCTTCATCTTGGTTGGGCCTGACTCATTTAATATGCATTCTGGTTTCAAAGATGCGAAAATAAGGAAAAATATGCATCTTAGAATTGATAAAATATGGTATAAGTCAAATTTTTTCCTTTTTTGAGTAAAAGAGTATTTGGTGTTTGTATATTATTGAGCCTGGATGCGTTATATAGAAGAGAAACAGCAGAAATTCCCAAAGTCTACTGAAAATGTTTATTTTTCCATTTTAACTGGCAAATGATGTTATACATAAATTTTTAATGGGAGGTCTATTTTACTTAACCATGGCAACATTTAATAATACTTTATTAGCTAGGTCTTCCTAGATCAGGGTTTTCCTGGAAGAATTTAATAGGGAGAGCAAAAGCTCCATATATTTGCAAGGTAAAGTTTCCTCAAGGAGTGTTCCATTTAGTTGTGTACTGAATGAGATTTAAAATGCTATATTTCACTGAGTGTAAATATTGTGCTTCATTATTGATTTAGTGTGAATGCAAGATTTGTGAATGTGAGAAGGGGGATCCAGGCGACCCAGGGCCTCCTGTGAGTATATTTCTGTTTTGAACTTAGGGTCAAGTCAGGAAGTCCTAGCGATGACAGCTCTGCCCTGAAAACACTGGGCTGCTTTGTGCTGTTGAAAAGCAGTTGTGTGCAAATAGCAGCAAAAACAGAAATGCTGTTCCTTTCTTTTATTCCTAAAGGGATACATTCTGTCCTTAGAAATAAGCTTGAGATTTTACTGAACTGAATTGAGGGCAGATTTGGTTTAAAATGACGACATTCTTCCCACGAAGGATATTTCAGCATCACTTCTGATGCAACAATTGAAGCCAGAATTTCTCAATACTGAAGTGAAAATTTAGAGAAAGAGCTCATACAAATCCTCAGTGCTCTAGACAAAGCTTTATCCTACTTCCACCTAGAAACAAGTGACCTCTCCAGAAATTAACTGTGTCTTCACACTTAGCCAAGTGCAACCCCAAAATGCCTCGTGGGGAGGAAGCTTGTCAGGAAGCTCTGGAAATTAGAGTGAATTGTGTGAAATGGAAGACACCACTTGGCAAACAAAGGTAAATGGCAGGATTTACTAAGATGATTCAATACTTGAAAAGATAATCCCCAAAGGAGTGCTTCCTTTATATTCTGCCCTAATATCTGGTAGGTGCCATGTCTGTACTGGGAAGGCATTGGGAACGACATCACAATGACTGGAGATGCTGAATGCTTCTCTAACAGACACCTTCAGGTGCCTCCACGCTGCTGCTTCAGTTTTTCATTTACTTCTGTGATTTCAAACCTTAGAGGTCAAAAGCCCTGTGGAGATATTTCACAAAAATTCATTGATAATGTTTTTGACCTGATGCTTGTATTTGGGGGCAGGGAGGGGAATGTGTACAGTGAATTTCTTAGACTATAACACATTTTCCCTTGAGTCTTGGGTCCAAAGCCTAAACTTTTTCAAATCATTCTACTAATCAAGGCATTAGAAAGAGGGAGTGTTTGTCTTTTTTTTTCTTCAAAATACAAGTTAGATACATTACATGATAACGTGGCAGTCAGTAGAAGCTAATTTTGGCCAAAGCAAAGGTTTAACTTTCCCTTCCTATAAAGTCTTACTTTATATTATTACACCAAGAGATTGCCAGGGAAGGTTTGCTTGGGATATTCAATTACATTTTAGAATAAACAGTAAAAAGAAACCTTACAACTGCTGAGCTAATCTGACTATTTCAGTCCCTTAATATTGTTGGAAGAAATTACTGTACCATGTTTTAATAGCGATAGCCATAGAAATATGTTATTTAACATTTATTGAGTGTTCCCAAAACCAGTTCACAGAAAAGCAAGATTTTTGGTGGTTTGAGAATAGGAAAATAAAATGCCTTTCTAGAATGGGATTGAAGAACTCTCTTCTTCCATCTTTTGAGATTCTCTCCTGGACATCAGGAATAGAGAGACATTATCTTTTTTGAGCAAATCTAGAGAATCTGCCATTTCAAGACTGTGCTGTCTTCCTGGTGTGTAGTAAGGGAAAATAGAGTTGAATCTCTGCTTGGTATGTAAAGTGTTTTTTACAATCTTCTCTAATTTTATGGAATGAAGCTGATCAGAAATTAATGTAAGGTGTAGGAAACTAATAGAATGCCTGGCTCCATATAATCTTTTTTCCCTTTGCCTTCAGGGTACACATGGAAACCCCGGTATCAAAGGTGAGTGAGGACCTAAAGGAAACCCGGTAAATGAATAAACAGCTTTCACTTAAACCAGTGTATCGCCTTCTAGGTCTACTTAAATAACAAAAATTTAAAAAACAAAAGATTGTAATATATGCCAATGCCAAAAATCTGATGATTCCCACGAAGAATACAGGCTGTTTACTTCCTACATCATATGTCTGGTTTGTGTAAGCTTGTATTTACAAATTCTGAGAAACATATGACCATTTTAGTCAATAAGTTCAGGAAACCTAGGGAGGTGAATAAAGAGAAACTTGTTCTTAAATAATGGAGGCCTAAATTAATTACTACAATGTTCCACGAATCACTAATACATATTCCAAAACAGATTGCTATTGACACTTGTATTTTTTATGGATTCACTTGATGGGTAACTCACCTACAATAACAATAGGAAAAACACCAGATTGTCTCTTGCTCCCAAACCAAGTTCAGGCATTTCCCCAATTCTTTTCTTTGTGTACTCATCAAAAAAATCCTAGATTAATTAAAAAAAAAATCATATCATGGTTGGGATGATGGTCTTCCAAGTTCAAGAGCAACAGAAGGAATCATAGGAGAGAGATTAGCAGAGGCAACCATGTGAAAATTTGAGGAAAGTTCGTATATAATGAAAAATAATAATTAAAGAGGAAAGCATATAGGGAAATGTTTATGTCAAAATACAATGGATATTGGGTTAATTGCTATAGTACATAAAGACTTTATAAAATAGATGAGAAACTAATAATTAAATGGTCAAAGGACACAAACAATTTTCAAGACAGGAAATAAATCCAGTGAAAAAAGAAATAGAAAAATGTTTAATTTCACTGGATAATGAATGAAATTTAAAGACAGACAACGAGGTACCCTTTATTACTAATTATTCACATTTTAGAAACTTTGGACTCCAAGGGTGTTGGGTTGTTTTTTGCGAGGGAGGGGAGTAATTTTCTAGTTCACGAGTTTGTTTTTTTCTGTATTTTAAATTTATAAAAAACATTTCTTATAGCACTTAACACAGCAATATTAAAACAATAATAACTAGTGATAGCAATGTGGTGGTGAAACTGGTTTCCTCTTCATTGCAAAGGTAACTTGGCACAGACACACAAACACTTTTGGAAGCAATTAGGCACCATAAGAAACATTCAAATATTCAAAATTTTAATGCCAGTAACTCCATTTCTGAGAATATGTTTAGAGAGGTAATGAATAATATAATAAGTTAGGTGCATGAAAGTATTTTTGCCAGTTGCCTGCCTGTCAAAGAAAGGGAATGTAAAGCATCCTTGGGTGGTTTTACAACACACACACACACACACACACACACACACACACACCCCTACACTCACCCACTTTGTATGGGTCTAAATTGATGCCATCATGTCTTCTTTTTGCTTGGTTAAATACCTGTTGTAAGTCTTTGCACACATTTCATTTATTTGGCTTGGAATTTTGTGCCATATAATATATTTTCCTAAGTCTTGCTGAAATCAAGCAATCACTCTTAAGGACATTTTGGAAAACATTCCAAAGCCCCTTGGAGAAAAGCCAGAGTAGCTGGCTCTGAGTGGGTACAATGCTATATTTGAGAACAACGGCCGTGTTGTTAAACTAGGATGCAAGTCTCGACCTAAGCTGTGAAAATATACCTGGATTCTGCACCCTATACATCTGGCTTCACTCCAAAGGGCAAAGGCTATCTGAGCTGCTATTTTCTTCCCTAGACTGCATGGTGAAAATGTCAATGGTCAAGGTCAAAGATATTTTCCCCATTGGTTTAACGTATTAATCCGGGAAATCTGAATAGTGAATTTTATTGAGCAATCACTCACTCTGCAGGGCCATGGAATTTTGACTAAGTTTTTTTCTTGACACAGGGTGATGCTCCAAAAGGGGAACCGGGAGAAAGAGGCCCAGGGGTACATACACAACTGAAATGCCTTCCTAAGAAAGTAATCCCAGGACGCTAAGATTCTGTAATGGATCATTTTGACCCCTGCAATGCAAGTGCAAAAATGATTTATGTCCACGTGAGCTCTTGATGGCTCAGACAGGCAATCAGACAGATTATGATCTTAGAAGTGGAAATGTGAGGAGAAAATACTCTGTCCAAAAGGAGTGATGATGGGACAGGGCGGTCCACCACATAACATTTCTTGATACTCAAGTTGAGATTTGTGAAAAGCTCAAATAAGAAAAATATTTTGTTTTGCTTCCTGTGTTTTTTTTTTTTTTAATAAAGAGTAAATTAAAATTCTGGGAGCAGAAGAATTACATAATCTCAACTATCCTTTCGTAAATCCAATTCTACAGGCAAATGAAGAGATTGTTCTAGTTGATTTATTATCCCTAAAATTAGAAGATGTCAAGAGATTGTGTGAGAAATAATTATAGTACATTTCTTCTTTTGCATTGTCCTGGAGAACTGCAGCAGTATAGCAAATAGCAGAGAAATGTACAGTGACTTAAAAGGAGGCTGCGTGGCATTTCTCCTCCCAGCTTTTCCCCTTGGATGAAAGCCCAGGACTCAGACCCAGAGGTTTTAAAAATGGTTCTCTTGGTGTTTCTAATCAATTACATGAAAAATTCTGATACAAAGTTTGATAATTTCAATGGAAATTCCTTCAGAAATTTGTGTTACTCATTCAGGAAAGACTTCTTAGGTATTTTATATATATAAAGCCTATTGTTATGTGAAAATAAAATTAAGACAAAGCACTTATTTTTGTGAAACGTTCATTATCTCAGAGGAGAGGTAAAACAGCTATAGTATGAAGTGGAATGTCAAAATATTGTAAAAATTTCACACATAAAGTATAATGGGCATTCAGAGGAGACCAGAGCTATCAGGGTAGGTTCTACAGGATGACCCTTGAAGGGTGTAGGACTGGGACAGGTAAAGACAGAACAGGAAAGTGGAAGGGGCAGGCATTCTAGATGGAAAGTGCTGTGAGCAGCAACCAGAGGGAGGGCAAAGTGTGGGGAATGGTGAGATGGGGTGCCTAGGGAGGAGTATTGGCGGAGTGGTTGGTCCATGCCGGCTGGAGGGCTGGGCTTTGCAGGGTGATGGGCACCTCCCGAGATTTTAGATGAGGCGTATGGCCCGAGAGCTGTGGATTTGGAAGATTAATCTGGCCTGGCTCTAAAAGCAAAACTGAAGTGGGAACAAGGAGAAGGAAGGAGCATTTTGAAGAAGGTTTGCTGCTACAGGCTATAGGAGAAGTAACAGGGTCATTAGCTAGAGCTGCTCCAGCCAATGTGAAAGCTGCTGGCCATGTGTGCTTACCGAGCAGTGGAAAGAGGCTAGCCGGAGTGGAGGTGTGCTGGAGGAATAAACTACACACTGAATTTTTATGACTTAGTACCAAAAAAAAAGATGTAAAATATCTCATCAATAATTTTTTAATATTGATCACATGTTAAAGTGAGAGTTTTTGGACCTATTGTGATAAATACAATATATTATTAAAAATTAATTTCACCTGTTCATTCTCGCATTTTTTAAGTGGCTGTTAAGGAATTGAAAATGACATAGGTGGCTCACGTTATACTGCACAGAACTGGGCTACAGTGATGACAAAATGGAGAGGAAGAGAACATTGTGAGAACCAGGAAGGCGTAGAAATGAGGGGGTGCAGTGACTAGCTCTACCTCAGATGTTCAGCAAGATTTACTGAACACTGGCCATGCGCTGGGCCCTCTTTTAGGTGCCGGGGATACAGAGGTGAGCAAGGTGGAGAAACCCTGTTTCATAAAGCGTTCAACCAACAGACAAACAAGTGAGTAAGCACTTCAGTCAGTGAGAGGGTTATGAAAATATAAAACAGGGTGGTCCTAGGCAGAAAGAGCAGCAAATACAAAAGCTCTGAGGCGGGAGCAAGCTTGGTGGGCCCAGGAAATGCAAAGAGAGACAGAGTTTGAGGAAGAGTGGCGAGGAAGATGAGGCTATGAGGTAGGCAGGGTCTAGATCACACAGGGCCTTGTTGGCCAGGGTCAAGAGAGTGGATCTAAAACTAAGTGCCCTGGAAGCTGTTGGAGGATTTTAACTGGTTGGATTAAAAGAATGGAAGGGACAAGTTGAGAGCCAAGATGATTATAAACTTTGATTCTGTATGATGTGAAGTATGATGGTGCCATTCATAGAAACAGGGAAGTCAGAAGCAAGTTTTGCAGAGACCAATGAGTGCAGTGCCGAATATCTCAAATTTGAATATCTTAAAACTAGTAAGTAAGGTGCCCTGAAAGGAAGAGAGAAAGGTGAGATCAACCAAACAATAAATTGACCAGAGAGTTAGGAAAACAAAACAAAAACCAAAAAACAGGAAAAAGAGTATGCTATAAAAAGTAATATTCCTTTATTTTTGTAAACTGGATCGGCCCCTACCGAAATACAGTCTTAACGCTCTTAACGTAAAATAATGACAGAATTTTAAATATGGTGGTATATTATAAGCAGTGGAGGGCACCCCAAAATTCCTGAGATTGAAAGTCCACTCTTTTTTCGTGCTGCAGACATGAACTGCTTTTATAAAGAACCCCAATTTAACTATCTTAATGTGGCCTTTAATTTCAAGCACAATACTAAACATAAAACCGTTTATGTGAATAAGTATTTCCGACACGGATTAAATTGTAGTGTAACAATTTTTTTGACTAGTTTTACTTTTATTTTCAGTTTCTCAGTGACTGCACATTTGGGGAGAAGTGCTAAAGAATTCCTTTTTACCTTTTGTAAAAAAGTCATACACAGCAAAATTTTGTACTCTGACTCACAAGTAACTACAATCACAGCTTGTTTATTTCATTGGTTTCTCCAGCTCACTTAAAAGATGTCTTACGATTCTATTTTCATACATAGAAACTAGTTGTATGAAAAAGACATGTGATCATATTAGAGAAAGACTTGCTGTGGCTTAAAGTTGGTAATTTACCAGTCTGTTTAATATTCAGTATTGTGTTACTTAAAGGGTTTATGGGCAGCGACACAATGGAGAAGGCTGTGCAGAATTCCCAAGAGTGACATACAAGAGAAGCAGAAGCACTGGCCCCTTATTTAGCCTGAGATAAAATATAGTAACTTAAAGGTCACTGTCTCACTAAGGTTGACAAAGGAACCATTCATTTCCCGATGTTCTATATTCTAGACCGAATTTGAAAGGAGGAACATAATGGATATAAATATTTACGGACATTTTAAAGGCCATTATCTCAGCTCAGTTTCAAAGCCAATTTTTCTAAACCGTCTCTGTGAAGCATCCTCAGCTGTGATAGTTCACAGTTTAAAAGTCAATATAACAATTTTGAAAGCACTATTATAGGTCGTCACTTCTACAGTGAGATTCAGTGTATAGTTTCTCCTTTAGCTTTGGGCCAAAGGGTAAGAAATTGGATTTGAAAAAATATGTGGAACTGAGAATAGAATGTAATAAAGGGAAAAAATAGGTTCTTTTCTTCCCCCTACTATATGCACATTCCCTACGTGCAGAGAGAAGTGGAAGACCTTACCTTTTTTTTTTTTTTTTTTTTTTTTCTTGCGGTACACGGGCCTCTCACTGTTGTGGCCTCTCCCGTTGCGAAGCACAGGCTCCGGACGCGCAGGCTCAGCGGCCATGGCTCACGGGCCCAGCCGCTCCGCGGCATGTGGGATCTTCCCGCACCGGGCCACGAACCCGAGTCCCCTGCATCGGCAGGCGGACTCTCAACCACTAGCGCCACCAGGGAAGCCCGAAGACCTTACCTTTATACCGTCTTAATTTCCAACACTATACAGATGTGTTTTGTTATACTTTATAAATGAAAAACATCAACTACTTCCTCCAACTATGCCTTCTAATATCATATTTTACTTCTCTTTTCTTTTTTAATTAGGGAATCCCTGGGTACAAGAGTGAGAAGGTAAGTTGGTAATAACAAATAGATCAGAATTTCATTAAAAAAAACCAGCAACATAACTGTATTTATATACTTAATAAAAGTTATTTTCCTTTATTTTTGTAAGTCTGGATTCCCAAATTCCAAAGTATATTCTCAACTCTGTTAGCATAAAATAATAATAGAACTTAAGATACAGGTGTATGTTATAAAGGATGGAAGGAAGCCTAAGAATCCTGAGAATCCAGCCTCTCTTAGTCCTGCAAATACAAATTCTTTTAATAGAGAACCCCAGTTTAATGGTCATGCAATACGGGTATCAAGATCAAAAGTTTCTATGTACAAATGGATGCAGCAATACTACAATTATGCTGCTGCCTTGGTGCTTAACTTCCTATGAAATGTAGACACAAGACCCTCTCATGGGGCAAAGAGGATCTATCCTGGTTAAGCAGTAAAGAATTACTTCATTCTTTACTGAACTAAATGAACTAAAGAACTAAATGAACTAAAGAACTAAATGAACTAAAGAATTAGTTCATTCCATCAGGCACCTGGGTAGAGCTTGCAGGGGCAGTAAATTTGACAAAGGTTATGAGTTGGTAGATTATTTTATTATTCTTTGCAAATTACCAATTAGGAAATCAAACTGCTTCCAAAGAAATTAACACGTTAGACTGGGGCTCAGGAATCTTCGAGAGGGTTCAGTGGTTCATAAGTTTAAGCCACTATTATTATATGCTCTCTATTATCAGATTTTTCTGTCTGAAATCAGAACATGGCCCTCATCATTCATTCTGTCCTACAACCCTCAGACCTGGGCAAGAGGCATGCACTTTACAGGGTCCTGCCCTGGGTCTCCTCCAGCCTCCTCATTCATGAGGGAGCCAGGTGTCTGTAGAGTGAGAGGCCCATGTCCCCTTCTCCTGGATCATGCTTTGGGTAACCAAGCCCCTAGAAGTCCCTGCAAAATGGTCTGAGCCTGCTTCAAAGGCACACACGAACCTCCTTCCCATGTCCATCTTCTTCCTAGGCCTGAGGGAAACCAAATGGAAGCTTTGTTGGGGCAGGAGGGGGCTTTGTTTTGCTGTCTGTGGCACCATCACAGACACATACAGCTCCTTTGGCTGTGGGAGGAGCTGGAGGTGGGAGGTGAACTGAGAGCTGGGCTGTGGGCTATGGGCATGGGCCTCCCACATGCACCTCTGAGGAATTCCAAAATTCTCTAACTTTTTACTCCTTTTGGAGATATATTTGTCAAGAAAGGAAGCCAGAACACGACTAGTTTATTAGCTCGATTTGGAACTTTCAGCTACTTAGATAGGTGGTATTTGGGCCTCTGCTTATACTCTTGTTCTGGGCCCTGTAAACATTAGGGGTGAACCTACACACAGGCATATAAATATAATCCTAAACACTGGAAATGTTAGGTCGAAAAGGGGAAGAGTGTAAGAAATGCCATGATTCTGTACCTTGCCATCAGAACCTGGACAACTCAATATCTTAGAGTGTCTGTTTCTTCATCCATATAGAACTGGATTAATACAAGCCTCCCTAATTTACAGGGTCGTTGGAGAATCAAAGAGAATAATGGATGTGACAATGTATTTTAAATTATTTGCTGGTCTATAAACATAAGGTGCTACTATAAAGAGATAGGGAACAAGTGATAATATGGGAAAGTTAAAAAACTTTCATGATTGTAAAACTGTCCTATATATATAGTTGAAGAAAATTTTCCATGCCACCACCGTTTTGATTTATACAGTATGCTAATTATCAACACCAGGAAACTCTCTGTGTATTTTTTTTTTTGAAAAGATTCACTTAAACTTCTGGGGAACTATACATTCACTGGAGGGGCCCTCGTTTGGAAAATACAAGCTGTCGGAGCAAAATGGCCCTGAACCGTCGACATTCAAACCAGAATTTCACCAGGATAAGCAGCGTCAGAAATCGGGGCTGGGAACAGAGCTAATCTGTTCAGTTTTTTCTGAAGCACTCGCTCTTGGGAACTTTGTAACTCTGACCATGCCACAGGGATTACTGAGCCCATCAAAAAAGAAAACGCCTTTGCAGAGGCGAATAACCTGAGTACAGTATCTTCATTGATGGGAATCTGCCCCCACGCCAATGCTGTTCCTCAGGACCCTATAGCTAACAAATCTGTCTGGACAAATGGAACGTGAACTCTAGCCCAAAGAATTTTGAGCATATTTATGGTACTTTTCTGTTTTATATTTTGGTGGTTGACTCATTGTATTTCCATCCAACATTCTTCGATTAATTGCTTTCTAGTTGATTCTTCAAGAGCAATTTTCCATTTGCATTCAGCAATAAATGTTCAACTTGTTTTAAGTGAAAGCTCAGTTTTTCCTGGGTCAGTTTGACTCACAATACGATGTGGAACGAGAACAGATGGCTTTTGTTTTTTGGGGTTTTTTTAACTTTTTATTTTATATTGGCGTATAGCCGATTAACAATGTTGTGATAGTTTCAGGTGCACAGCAAAGGGAGTCAGCCATACGTATGCATGTATCCATTCTCCCCCAGACTCCCCTCCCATCCAGGCTTTCACATAACACTGAGCAGAGTTCCCTGTGCTATACAGTAGGTCCTTGTTGGTTATCCATTTTAAATATAGCAGTGTGTACATGTTGATCCCAAACTCCCTGACTATTCCTTCCCCCCACCCTTCCCCCCGGTAACCATAAACAGATTGCTTTTGAATAGAGACATAGCTGGATCTAAAAATTGTACCTCCCTCTTGCCTGCTCCCCGTGCCAGCAATACCCCACGCAGGACCCTAGGCAGAAGTGTCAGGTTTGTGGAAAGTAACTTGAAGACCATGGCAGTGTACCCTGTTCAGCTCTGGGTGGCTGAGGGAGAACACGGACTTGGGAGCCTAACAGACTCAAGCATGTGGTCATGGGCAAGCTACTTAATCTCTCTGAGCCTCACTTGCCTTGTGTATGAATGGAGATGCATACACCTTGCAAGGCTGTTGTGGTGATCACCAATAATGTCAAGACTTTGGCACATACTCTGCATCCATAACTGGTGGTCACAATTATGATATTCCTTCTCAGAGCAAAGTGTGGTCTGCAGGTTGGCAGTCAATCTGTGAACTATTGGTTGCTATTTTGTGATGAGATGAAGCTTGCACAAGAATATAAGTCCACTGCATCACTAAACATACTGCTTAGCTCAGCTGACATTTATTTTTCATAGCAAGACTTCCCTAATGAAGGAAGCAGGGCAGTGATGAACATTCTAGTGCAAGTTCCTTATATAGCGGCACTTTGAGTTGCATGCTTTAGAGGAGCACAGAGATAATAAAGCAGCAGCAGAAACAGAAACTAGTAGTGAGGGCACCAGCCTAGGAGTCATTGGCTGGCATGAACATTTACATAAATCATTTAACCCCCCCAACTGAACTGCCCTATCTTAAAAATATGAATTGCTTCGAGGCTCAGAAAAAATATAGATATGTATGAATACACTTTGAAAAGTCTAACTTCAGTTGTTTTTCTAATTGACCTTGTTACTTCTAATTATTAGAAGTCTTGAAAGTCTGATATAGTAGATTTGTATTCAGAGGCCCCAGTTCTCATTCTATCTGAGCAAGTTACTTAACCTTTTTAAATCACAAATTTTCAATCTGTGAAACTGGGCTAATGATATCTACCTCAGACAGTTAATGTCAGATTAACTGACATAATGTCTGTAAAATAACATTAATAATAAACAGGAAAGCATAATTTAAATGTTAATTTGTTTTTCCGTTAGTATTCCAGGAAAGGCGGGACAGCAGTCTGTGGTGATGGAAAACACACAGCATGCTTGTCGCCATGCCCAACTCTCTCTCTCACCGCAGACCTTGATCATTCATCATGGCTCCTTTCTCCACCAAGTCTGGACATGCTCTCAGAATCTTTCTCTCACAGATCTCTAGGCAAACACTACTAATTGATCAAAGTTGGTGCTCAGGCTGGAGCATGTGGTGTTGTGGAAAGAATAGGGACTCGGAGTCTGAGTAGACCTGGGCTGAGACCTGATTCTTCTTACTAGCTCGAGGATGGAGCAAAGTTACCTTGTTGAGCTTAAGTTTCCTCATTTATAAAATAAGATGAAGGTGAAGGGGATTATGAGGTACAAACTTCCAGTTATAAAATAAATAAGTCACAGGGATGTAATGTACAGCACAGGGAATATAGTTAATATTCTGTAGTAACTTTGGATGGTGTGTAATCCATAAAAATATTGAATCACTGTGTTGTACACCTGAAACTAACATGATATTGCAAGTCAACTATACTTCAATAAGAAAAGGCATCTATGGATCAAATTGCAAAAAAAGGAATTGTAAAACTAATCTCATTGGGGTATAATGTGGATTCAATTCAATCACATATGCAAAGGGTACATAAAATATGGTAGATGCTCATTAAACCTTAGTTTCTTTCCTCTTAATTTGATCCATGTCTCAAAAACGTTAAACCTCATTAGGTGGTATCACTAATTTGATTGTGTTAAGAATGACTCATGGGTAAAATTTTTCAGAGTTCAATGCCCAAACAACCCACAGTATTGAGGATAAAACTGTGTATAACTCATCAGACTGCTCATGTCATAAGATTCTGCTGGGAATCTTTTAAAAAGAATCCGAACACTGAATGACTGCAAATGTCTTCTTATTTCATGTATTCATTTTTTTAGGGTGAACGTGGAGAATGCGGTAAACCAGGAATAAAAGGTAACAAAGTAAGGAACTTGTTTTTAAAATGCTAACAGCTGTGATCCCTTTGGGACTGAGTTTCCTTAAGAAGAAATTCCTGGATTCATTATGTTGCTCTCACTACTGGAATTAGAGAGTCATCGGCTCAATTTTCACATCTGTAAAACATGAAGCAAAAAACAAATCCATCTCTAACTTTATTTAATGGAGCCCCCAAAGGCCTTTCTTACGGACCATTAAGACTTTGCCTTGTGGCACCCTAACCTTTGAGGCCAGGCCCACTAAATGTTATGGTGAAAAGAATAACTTAACTAGCAAAGTCAATTCAAGCTCCAGTTGGGTCAAAGGAGAATTGTTTTCCAGATGTAAATGCTGAGAACAAGCACCTTCCAAAGTAGAGTGAAGAACTCTATGAAATAGGTTAATGAAATACTTTTCAGTAATGTGGAAGAACTAGACACAGATAAGGATTTGAAAAGGCAGCAAGCCACAGAAATTGGGTAGTTATTTACCTTTCATTAAAAAATAAATATGAATAAAATACGTAAACTGGAGACAATATTAAATGTTAAGGAGTTCCTTAATGGACCAGAAATACATAGAGAGTATATTTGAAACATGATAAAGGGTCCAAAAAAGTAGAGTAAAAGTAAATAGTTTTCATTATAGTTAAGAACTGTTACCAGCATGCCACCAAGATACCAAAGTCTTTCAATATCTATTTTTTAATTATGGGAAGAATCAAGGAGAGAAAACGAGGGGGAAGGTGAAAAGAAAAGTATAAAATAGTGACACTGGCCTATGTAACTAAACACTTCAAATAGGCTGAGACTTTCTGAAAGCTTTTAAACTACTGTAGAGTTAAAGGTCAGATGAATCTGAAAAATGTAGGCTTGGTAATTATCTCTGGACAAAATGAAAGGTGTGATAATGAATGGATTCTTCCTGGAGAATAACTGAAAATGGGAGATGGACATAGACTTGAAAATACAGAAGAATGGACACACTGAACAAAAATGAGTCAAAAAATAACTGGAGACACTATTTGAAATAAAAATGGCTGACAAAGATTTAACACAGTTCATTGACTAAGATGGCAGGGATTGTTAAATGCCCTATAACTTTCTGTGCTAAAAAGAAAGAAAAAATACTGCCCATTAGAAATGTAAGGTGCAACTGATTGTACGATGTATCCCAATTTCAGAGATGTAAAAATCTGAAAAAATGCATGTCTAAGGTCAATGAAATATAGTGCCCTTGATGTGAAGAGTTCATGTAAGTTTACACATAAAACGTACAAAGAACACAAAGCAACATAAAAGAGGAAATATAAATGGGTAATAAATCAAAAAATTATCCAAACACATAAGCAATCAGGTAAGTAAAATTAAAACATTAAAATATTACTTCATCTATCAAATTAGCAAGCACTGAGATAATATATAATACTCAGTATTGATGGAGATATTGTAAGATGAAGATGCACTCTCTATACTCAGGTAGTGAGAATGGAAATCTGAACAAAATTTATGGAGGAAATTTTTACTTTTTCTTTCTATATATGGTGTGAGAGACAAAAGAGGGTGAATGAGAGCCTTAAATGTGCTTACAGTCTCTGTGTCAGTCATCTTCTTCTAGGAAATTATCCTTAGGAATGAATCAGAAGTTGAACAAAGATTTATACACAAAGATATTCACTATACTACTGTTAACAATAGAAATCATCAGAAACAACTTAAGTGTCAAAACTAGAGAAATGAGTAGCTATGACAGAATCATATTCTTGGATATTATTCAGTTTACTAAGAGTTTTTAATGACATGGAAAAATATTTTTGATAGAGTGGAAGGCCAGATAAGTAGGACACAAAATTGGATATACACTTTGATCAAATTATTTAAAGAAAGACCTACTGGATGAAATAATAATATTGGATGAAAATATGCCTAAAATGTTAACATCTGTTGCTGTTAGAAATTTACTTTTTTCTATAATTGTCAAGGTATGTCTATTATAAACAGGTTACATTTTGGTAATCAGAAGAAAAGTGGAAATCTGAGAAAAGAGAGACTAGGTAATATTATACTGTCATAAAAAACTTTAAAGGGCTTCCTAGTTATGGGACATATTGAAATACTTTCTGTTAGAAGAGTGTTGAGTATAAGTTGTGTTTTGCCAAGTTCTATGTATTGAAGATGGGCAAGAGAGTGATCTAGACATTGTGGAAACTCACTAAATTGTTTTTTTTAATTTATTTAATTTATTTATTTTTGGCTGCACTGGGTGTTTGATACTGCTCACAGGCTTTCTCTAGTTGCTTCGAGCGGGAGCTACTCTTTGTAGTGGTGTGCGGGCTTCTCATTGCGGTGGTTTCTCTTGTTGCGGGGCCCGGGCTCTAGGCGCACAGGCTTCAGTAGTTGTGGCACGCGGGTTAAGTAGTTGTGTCTTGGGGGCTCTAGAGCGTAGGCTCAGTAGTCGTGGCGCATGGGCTTAGCTGCTCCGCGGCACGTGGGATCTTCCCGGACCAGGGCTCGAACCCGTGTCCCCTGCACTGGCAGGCGGATTCTTAACCACTGCGCCACAGGGAAGCCCACTAAATTGTTAATTTAACTTACATTGCCTTGCTGGAAGGAAAAAATATTCCACCAAATTTATTGCTTTCTAAGGATCCTTAAGAAATAAATTTTTAAAATTCTGATAAAAATGTCAATATACAGGCAAAGGAGTTAACCTAAAATCATGTTTTCATGGAGTTTGTTTACTAGAGAAAAGTTTACTAACAAGTTGGCTTGTTAATTAGGATCGTTTTGTTAACAGTGAATTTGTTGGCTTTGATGTTTGGATAACCTGGGAAGACTGGCCATTACTGGGAACACAGTTCCTTCTCTTCCACGTAAAATCATTGCAAATTGAATGGATATTTAGAGCAACTTACCGTTCATTTTATTCCACAGGGATCCCCAGTGCCAAATGGACCAAAGGGACCCGGAGGACTTCAGGTAAGGAGGCGAAAACCAAATCTAAGTCTGTATTAGAATACCTAGGGAGCTTTGGAAATCTCTGTGCCCACATGCACCCTCTACCAATTCAGTCAGAATGTCCGGCGATTGGAGTCAGGCATCAGTATTTTTAAAGATTCTCAGGTGATTCCAATGTGAGACAAAGTCTGGAGACTGGTGCTCTAATATTTTGAATAACTAACGCAGGCTCCTTCAAAGATAGGTGCCGGCATGTGAGTCTACTTAGTGAGTAGCTGAAGGGATAAAAGTTAAAAAATTAGAGTTTAGGAAGATGAATAAACTCAAAGCAGTTAGGGCTTCCCTGGTGGTGCAGTGGTTGAGAGTCCGCCTGCCGATGCAGGGGACACGGGTTCGTGCCCCGGTCCGGGAAGATCCCACATGCCGCGGAGCGGCTGGGCCCGTGAGCCATGGCCGCTGAGCCTGCGCGTCCGGAGCCTGTGCCCCGCAACGGGAGAGGCCACAGCAGTGAGAGGCCCGCGTACCGCAAAAAAAAAAAAAAAAAAAAGTCAAAGCAGTCAAAAGCAGGATGTAACAATGTTGGCATTGCTGCTCTAATGCAGTAGGAAGAGCTATGCATTTTATCTAAATTACAGCATCTGTATTGTTCCATCATGATAAGCAGTAACTGCTCAATAACACGGAATGATTCTTTAAAGCATTTATTTTAGACTTATCCCAGGGATTTCAGAAAATAATTGGATCCGTTTTTCCAGTCTGGGGACTTGCCTTGTCTAAAGCTGTAATGGGAAGAGGGTGTGTATATGTGTGAAGAACCAATTTCAGCATTTCAAAAAGTCTACTGAAAATTATACCTTTACCCAAAATTTCCTAGATGGCATCTAGTTGACCACCAACGCCTTTGTTCTGGTCTGAAATTGTATCAGGACAGGGGAGTAACTCTGATTATCACAGGTCATTGGAAACTCCAACTTACAGTTATATATGCCTTAGATATATATTTTTAAAGTTGTTGTTTATTCTTTCCAAAAAGGGGTCCAGCACAGGAATGATGTTGGAAACGCAGGTTTAGAAAACAAACACCTCATGAATAAATGTTTGCTCTCAGTCTAGGTACTATTTTAGAAGCTGTGTGTTTGACACAAGGAATTTTATCTCATTCCATTTCTCAATCGTGTGTAACCCCAACTTAACTCTGACTTAGATAGTCTGACTTCTAACTCCAGGATCTCTAGGGACCCTAATGAATGATTCATTCCTGATTGGCCTTCTGTACACAGAACTAATTCTTGGTTTTCATCTTGGAGCAGGGCATTACTGGACCTCCAGGGGATCCAGGCCCGAAGGGGTTTCAAGGCAATAAGGTAATCATACCCGTTGATTGTAGACAGGCAGAGTGCCTTTCCCCTAGTGAGCTATGGTAATACACGTTTTTATTAGGCAGAAGTCAATGGATTCTTTGAGGACGAATCTTTGGAAATACATAATAACCTGCAGGTGTTATACACAGAATCATGTTTAAGTACATGCAGGAAGTTAGTGTCATAGTCTTTTCATTTATTATTATTATTTTATTCAAAGGGGCATTATTAAATATAAGCCATTATTTTTGCAGTGTTTCCATCTTACTCCCGCCCTTTTAGTCATTTTATGACAAACTAGAAACTGAAAAGTAGTAATAAGCAACACAATTCAAATCACTCTATTTCCCACAGGTAATGTCAACTCAATACATAGTTTATAAGAGAAGGGGATTTATAACTGTCATACCAACAAAAATTAAACTTTTTTAAATTGCGAGGGTGTAATCTCTATCAGTACCAGCCTTGTAATGTCATTCCACAGGTAACCAGGCAAGACGTATAGGGAGGGGTTGAATAAGAGCCAGATGGAACCAAAAGTTGAGATAGAAGGGATCTTTAAAAGACCTGTTTATAAGACTCCATTTTCCAATGAGAGTGGCCATTAATTTGCTGAAAACAAGCGTTTTAGTGCCTTTTTAACACTTCTCAGTGCTTAGTAAATTCCACAGATATAGTAAATATCTAATAAATGGTGTTGAGTTAGTGACTGGAGATCTGTGGAATTTGTGGCAGTAATAACAGCAGACAGTACTGTCCCCAGAGGACCCTAGATAAAGCCAATCTTTTAAGGGTGCTATTAAATTTAACTTGTGGGGAGCAGTTGGGCTACTTGACTGTTCTTTTTTCCAGAGAGAGGTAAGGGAGTGACACGTATACTATTTTTAATGAGATAATGACAATGTGTGATTTCCTGGGGCAGTTTTAATTGGCAAATTAAAATAGAATGAGCTTCTCAGTGGGCGTGTGCTTAAGGTTGTCTGGGGAAACTGTCTTTTCCAGTCCTTGCCTATGATTAATTCTCTTAATCATAGGAAAGAACTGGCTCTTCTGAATACTGAGTAGAAGTTTTTACAAAATTGCTTTGGCTGTAGGTAAAATCCTGCAGCAAGGAAAAGAAAATATTTTGACAGTCCACACTTATTTCTAGGATCCTTTGGTTACCTAAGCTGATAATTTTCACAAGTTTGTGAAAAAGAGGCTTAAAATCAGGGATCAGGTTTGGAGTTTGCAACAGTGATAGAATTATAGATTGTTTGAGCCACAAGGGATATTAGAAATCATACTGGCCCAAAGTTTTCATTTTGGAAAATGAGAAGTCTGGAAATCAGGGCATCTGTGGAGGGGCTGGGCTGGGAGCAGGGCACGCAGCTTCGGGAGATGGGTGATGGCAGTTCATAAAAACGTGCCATCGTTTGATCACTTCTCTTCATGTCTTATACAATTACTCCTCAGATTTTTCTTTTAAAGTGGATTTATTTCCACAGAATTCAGCTTTTAATTCTAGGAATGCATTAATTCTTAGAATAAATAATGAGTCAAGTATATTGGGGGAGGCTGTAATTTTCTGACATAACACTTCATGCTCGACTTTCACATCATCATCATAAAAGGAGTCACTCTTCCAAAGGTATCTGAGGACTTCAACTTTCCAAGGGCCTCTCTTTTAAAAAATTCTTTTTTTCAAAAATTTTGGTGAAGATATTTAACGTAAAATTATCACAGGTTTAAAATCACAAAATTCACTGCCAAGTGAACACAAAAAAGTCATTGTCAGTTAAAAAGATGTCAGTATCTAAAGAATATTGGGGGGCTTCCTTAGTGGCATAGTGGTTGAGAGTCCGCCTGCCGATGCGGGGGACGCGGGTTTGTGCCCCGGTCCGGGAAGATCCCACATGCCGCGGAGCGGCTGGGCCCGTGAGCCATGGCCGCTGAGCCTGTGCGTCCGGAGCCTGTGCTTCGCAACGGGAGAGGCCACAACAGTGAGAGGCCCGCGTACCGCAAAAAAAAAAAAGAACATTGTGGGTTCTTGGTAGGGAGTGAGATGGGAGTAAGCTTCTCACTTTTCTCCTAGTTATATTTTTGTCTTAAGGTCACAGATTTAATGGTCTCTTGACTGTTACTTGGAGACTATTACTAATTTCTACCCCTCTTTGGATCTGTCAACCAGAGACGCATGTCACATTCATTAATTGTCTTAGGTTTTATACATTTATTCTTGTATTGTCTTAAAAGTCAGGTTTCAGGGAATGGCTTCATCTTACATCCCAGAATGTACTTCTAAATCTTAAAAACTTAATAAACTATTTTTTTGCTCAATCTGGAAACAATGTTTTATAGTGACATTTCTTTTTATCCATTACCATTTTATTACAAAATGGTTTTACGATATTGCTATTGCAATTCGTGCCAAAAAAAAAACCTTTAAAATTCAGTAATTCTGTATTTTCCAATGGACACAGGGAGGATTATTATTTTGAAGCTTCTAAAATAACAGATAGCACTTATTTAGTGTATATTTACTATGCACAGATACAGTTCTAAATACCCATTTAAGATAACACCACCTTCTGAGGCATGATCTATTCTCACTCTCACGGTATAGATTAGGCTACTATGGCAAAGAGAATTTAAGCAATGGATTCAAGTCTACACAGCTAGGAAGGGACAGAGCCAGGATTCAAACCTAGCCAGTCTGCTCTTAACCACCATATTATATCTATCTCCTTAGGAAAACTGCTGAATTTCCTAGATAGTCAACCTGAGATAAATGCCTTTCTTTTTGACAGTATGGAAATTGCATCTTTCTACCCCCTCTAGTGTACTCTGGCTGGAAACAGAAGTCTGTTCAGAGTGCACTTCTACTTGGTTATAATGTTCATCTGAAAATGCAGGAAAAGAAGGAAAGGAATCTCATGGGAAAAAGAAACCAGTAATGTGCATTTTCAAATATTTTGTCTCTTACGAGACCTTAAAATAGAAAATTTGGACTTGTAACATTTGCAAAGATTCCATGGGAGTTTCTAGATAGGGCCTGTCTATGAATTTGAATTTATGAATAGTCTCTCTCATGAGCGACAATCCCATTCTGTTGCTCTAGGTGCTTGGGTTTTCTTCATCAAAGGGTTTGCAGAAAAGGTGGCCAAAGAATAAAAGGAAAAAAAATAGCATGTGAGAAATTAAGGAAAAATGTGATTCTGGCCCTATTTCACAAACCACTTCTGTCATTAGTATTTTCCGTATGTAAAGTAGTATTCTGTCCTAAATGACCTTGTTGCTTTAGAAACAAAACATAGATGTTTCTCAGAAGGAAGCCACCTCAGCCTCTCCCACACATGAGGGTCAAGAGTGGTATTCACAAGAAGAACATCCCATCAGTCTCTAAAATCAATTAGAACTATCATCACGCAAGTATCTGAGAAGACATATCCCTAGGACCAAACTGGCAATGTCCTTAACAAGAGAGCACGGTGCCCCTTCTCAGTAAAAACTGAGGGCCTAAGAACCCTACGCCACCTTCCAAGGGCTGGTGTGGTGGTTCAGGTGGCAATCCCATCTGGCCATAAAATTGGCCCTCCAATAACGAGAAAGAATGGCTCAAGACTGGCAGGCCTCTCAAATCACAGAGAACAAGTAACCAAAATTAGTTTTGAACAAATAAACACAGTAGAATGCTGGATGTGCCAGGCCCACATTAGGTAATTTTTGCCATTTCTTTTTTTTTGCGGTACACAGGCCTCTCACTGTTGTGGCCTCTCCCGTTGCGGAGCACAGGCTCCGGACGCGCAGGCTCAGCGGCCATGGCTCACAGGCCCAGCCTCTCCGCGGCATGTGGGATCTTCCCGGACCAGGGCACGAACCCGTGTCCCCTGCATCGGCAGGCGGACTCTCAACCACTGCGCCACCAGGGAAGCCCTTTGCCATTTCTTGATGTCCTTCTGAGGTTATTTCTGAAGGGTGTTTTCTTCTCAAATCTCATCCAAATCTACTCTTTCCAAGACCCACTTTGTGCTCTGGGAGGAGGGACTGCTCACTGTGGCCTGAGCAGGAAATAGCTTGTGACACGTTGAAGCATCCTAGCATGAGAGCTTCGGTGCTAGGGCCAAAAGGGCATTAGGAATTATCCCTGACGTATTTCTCCAAGGCAAAGCAGCACGTGTTAATCCTCAAACAATTTAAAAATACTGTGATATTTATGTTATATAGTAATTTACCTTAATAGACGTATTGCCTCCCTTCTTCTAACTTCTTTCATTGTTCTACTCTAGGACGCTCATACATTTTCTGCAGGGCTTTTCCCCCCTAAGTGTTTTCTTCTTGTGCTACACTCAAGTATAAGAAACTCAAAGTCCTCTTACTTTATGTTCAGTTTAGCTTCTGAGATGTTAAGAAAACTCATAGGGAAATAGCACCAGTCTGGTCCAGTTTAATAAATGGATATGGTCAGGGTAAATAATCTCCAGTGAATCAAACATCCAGCCCACATCCAAAATAAACAACAGACCTAGTATTAGTGAATAAGTGAAACTTACATTTTAAAGGAAGTAAATGAGGGCAAATGAAGCACTTAGTCCACTCGAAAGCTCTGCACTGCACATGATCCTTGGACACCCTACTCCTCCTTACCTAGCTCTGTCATACTTCCATCCCATTTTTTGAGGTTCCCAAGCATGGTAGATAATTTTTTTTAGTAGTTGGTGTTCTTATAAAGAAATTAAGTAAATGAGAGCTAAATGTACAGATCCTGAAATTAAAATTGTCAACCTAGTAAACATCCCTACACATCATCCTGTTTTCTTCAAAATGCTCTATGAAAAGAGGTTAGTTTTTAAAACAGGGATGTCTGTCAACCTTTGACATAGCTATTAGGAATGCGTATGTATTTTGGTAACTGAAAGAGTACTAATCAAGTTTCCTTTTAGTTTCCGTGCATTATACCTTTGAACATTGCCAGTCTTCTTTCAAATATGAACCATTGGCAGGAGAATTAGATAGATATGTAC